TAAGTACTATTTTCTGGCTCTATTATGCACAACATTAGTTGTAGATCTAGTACGGAGAGTTCTTAGTTTTTTTAATTATTGAAAAAATAGGTTTTATACCACGTTTACTTATTAAGCTAAAAAAACCTTACAGATTCTAACGTAATCCAATCAGTAGCCATTGACTGTAAAACAATGTACTAAACAATCTTTGTTTCCAAGTACGTTTGGTAAAACTGTATTACAATTAGAAAATTTGGTATGTTTCTTCAGGGAGGAGCATGGTGCCCTGTTGGCCGTAGGGGGGCTGGGGGCCGTTGTCACTGTGGTGTCGGTGGGTATCTGGCTGTGGGGTAGGTGGAACGACGACCCACCGGCACCATCCCCCCCGAGATACTCGAGCCGGTTGTTGATGACCCCACCACCTACCACTCCACAACGGGAAGTCACATTAGCTGTAATAGATCTGGACTGAAATTCATCAATTTGGAAACAATTTGTTAATCAAAAAATCAATAAATTTTTGTGATTTTAAGGGAGTTTTTTTATAGCTTCTAAACAGTTTTTTTTTACAAACACATCATTTGCCATTGGCTTAAACCACTGGCTTTCACATTCGTCAGGTATACCCTCTTCATAATTTTGGAATACGTAGAATAGGGTAAGGCAGTGCTTTATATTATACTAGGCGTTTAAAAAAGTTAGGGACATAGTTCAAGTAGAGATGCTTTGGGTGAATATAATCAAAATGTTTATTTGGAAATATGTCATGATGCGTTTTGTTTAGCCTCTTTCTGTCCGTATACGTTTTTTTACCAAAACAATCATGAATCCTGATGGTTTGAACTACATTGTTGAGATTCTATAACATAATTTGACCGAATTTTTATTTTATCTTTGCGTCAAACTATGAGAATAAAACAATCTTAAACCACTTAAATATTGTGGTTATTTTAAATAGTTGATGCTGAATTTCACAAACTTCGGTCAAATTTAGTAAATTCTATGGATATAACAACGATATCTTAATAAGCTTAGTTAGGTAAAAAAAACCTCAAGAGGAGTTTTTAAACCTTTTTCCCTTGTATTTTATCAACGGTTATTTTAGGGTTTTTTAATAACCGTTTTATACTATTTTATGAAAATAATATATTAAAATATTGCATGTATTATAAATGAGCCATGACTAATTCCACCGGGCGAATGTCATGACTCATATTCAATGGTTCAAGTGTTTTTAGCGAATTTCCCATAAGGGAATAAGCTATTACCGTAGTACTCATGGTAAGACCTGGACCCGGGACCGATTTACTTTTTCGTTTTGAAGTCCCTAGAGGCCAAAAAAACCATCCGTTCAAATTCATATATATATATATATATATATTTATATATGTGTCCGTTAGCGCGATAACTCGAGCAAAAATCATCCGATTTTGATGAAATTTGGTACAAACGTGTAAAACTACGTTTATTCGAACGAGTTTGCGAACCAGCATGATCAGACTATGGGAACAGGGGTTTATGGGGGGTTTTATGGGGTAAAAATTGGTTTTTCCCATTTTTGAACCTAAAACCTTAAAATTTAGCAATTTCTTTTCAAACCATTTTGTAGAGCTTAAAAAAACAAATTATTTAGTATATTGAAGCGTTATTATGCACCTAATGGTTACGGAGAAAATTCCAAAAATCGGTCAATTTAAAATTCCCATGTTATTCTTATGGAGAATAAGTAAACTGTTGTAGTTTGCTTGTTTATGCACATATTTTGATCAAATTTGGAAAATGTATTCATTTCATACTAAACTATTAACATTTTACAAAAAAACACCTTTTTACCCTCCCTGTTGCAGCAAACCTAAGTACTTGTTAAACTAATGTTATTTAAATAGGGAATAAATGTGACATTTTTAAGGAGACATTTTAGTGTAAATCCGATCAGGCAAATGGAAATTCGCTTAGTCTGCAGGTTTGCTGCGGCGGGGATATTTTTATATAACATAGGAATTTATTACAATGGGAATTTCACAAAAAAGAGTAGCGTACAATAACAAATCGACAATCAATTTTTCCATTTAAAACATTGGAATCCCAGCTCTAACTTCAAATTCCCTCGCTGACCGCCATTTCTTTCTAGTTCGTCTCAGACACATACTGGTTGCCCTTAAAATTGCACAAATTGTTCTTGATCATATCCAATTACTTACCAAACTGAATGATTTTTTCTCCATTTTTCTGATAATTTTTCAGCCATAACCCTTAAAAAAAATTTGGAGTTCGTTCCCAAAAATTCCATCAACACTTGTGACAAGAGGAGTATATGATGCATGTTGTTGTTCGCAAGCTTTTGTATACTTTCTTTTTTTTCATCTTCTGCTTTTTTTATAACTTGTTGATGAGGGATGGAGATATAAGATGGAGCATCAGTGTCGACGACACGAACATCAAACAATGCCTCCGTCTGAGTCTCCCATAAGCCTCATCTACAAGCTAAATCAGCTTTTAGTGCAGGTTCTGACTGCCTTCAGCTATCAAGGGCTCTTTAATGCTCTCTCAGAGGCTTGTTCCACCATATTAAGAGAAATGGGAAGTTTTTGCAAATGGGAAGTTTCATATGAGAGAAGGAGTTTTTGGAACATATACTTTCCGTGTCTCTTACTTCATTGTGTCTTTTTATTATAAGACCTCCCTTGCGACATTTCAGAGCATACTCCGTATTGAACTCATTTCCGCATCCTTCACATTTTAATGGGATGTTTACTGGTGTTTTCCCATAACGTAGAGCAAGGGAATCCCTAAATTCTTGTGGGAACATGTCCAGATTAAGTTTCTTCAGAGGCTTGCATGATAGCCAGCATCGATGTTTTGGGTCCTGCATTGCGCATTATAATTTTCTGCCAGTTTTCTGAAAATGTTTACAAATGCTGTCTAAATAATTTTTCTTCCATGGATTTCTTTCCTTCTTTACATGACCTTAGCGACAAATTTAGGGCATATTCATGTGAATCAAAATTTAGTTTTCTCTTTTAAACAAGATGTCAGAATTTTGCATCCATCTTCAGATGATTTAAACATATAATTTGACTGCTTTTTTGGGTCTATAATTCCTAATCCTCCCCTTTTAACTGGTAAATGTAGAATCTCACATTCCTAATTGCTTACTTCTGAACAAAATAGATTTGAAAAAAAATATGCTTTTTGAATAGGTGAATACATTTCAGATTTAGTTTCGACTACCCTTGAAAAAATGTCCATTCCATTATTTGTGAAGATTTAGTTGCTACAGTGTAGGCAGATTGTGGATATTTTTTAGCAATATTTGCCAGATTTTCAATGTTTTACCCCATAAACGATTTTTTTCAGAAATGTGTTTATTTTTTTCCTCTTCAGAACCTATATATCCACCCTTACAAATTTCCATACCTGATATTTTCTTTTTAATTTTTTTGTAAATATTATCATGATTAAAAATGAATTTTGTTTTATTAGTTTGAGGAAAGTACCCATATTTTGGACCTAGTTTTGGGAGCTTTTCCCACCATTCCACAACATCATCAAAGGAGCCTTGACAAGAAATCATCTGCATACCAAACTTGAGATATGTTTGGCATTCTTTTTAGTTCTTGTATTAATGGAAGTGTTGTCAGACCGTATAATATCATAGTGGATCTCCTTGGGTAACTCCTTGACTACCGTATAAAATCTTTGATTACTTCCTTGCAAAATTAAATCTGAGCTACATTGATAAGAATTATGAACAATCTTGTGGGCTTCACTCACCTTAATTTGTTATCCAGGACTCGTCAAATTGTTCACACTACGAATACACAATTACAAATATACGCTAACATAAAAAATCGTCCTAGGATTATTCCGACGTTTCGCGGGACCAAAATAACATCCAGCTTCCTTTAGGGAATTTTAACTTCATTTCTCTCGCGCACGCGAGCCGAAATAGTCTTTATACCTGGTTAAAGAACACCGACCAGCCCCTAAACTAAAAATGCAGAGATCTAAATTCGCCCAACACATCATCGACAATAAACATTATATGCTAGATATAAATGATGGTCTTGATAAACTTCATTACTACAGGAAAGGAAATTTATTATATACTCTGGAAGAATTTGAAATATATAAAGAAATAAAAACCAAGGACAGCACACAAATTTTAAATGAAAAACTCAACTATGAATCTCATTATATTTTCAATACTCTCCTCCGTCACTACAATAGACCAGTATCAGCTGCTTATAACACAGACGACAGCCCAGAGTCAAGTCACATCACAACATAACATTCAGTCTGCTTCCTGCCATGTGCACAACAGTGCGTGTAGTTGATAGGCCTATCACTATCGGTTTTTATGTTTTGTGTAAAATGTGTGTTTTATTTATTCTGACGACAAATCAAGTGGATCCTAATTGTTTGCCTGACGATGGCGGGGATGCTTAAATAGCCGCCGAAACATATGTAGCAATTTCGACACTAGATGTTAAGGATTGTCTGACGAGGTATGTTTAACCATTATGTGTCATAGAAACGCAATCCTGGGGCTATGAAAATGATTTTTTGTTATTTTGGTCCCACGAAACATCGGATTAATCCAAGGACAATTTTTCATGTTCGTGTATATATGTGTAATATGTATTTGTAGTGTGAACAATTTGACGTGTCCTGGATAACAGCAAATTAAGGTGAATGAAGCCCACAAGATTGTTCACTATAATAAACCTCACCTAAAAAACATATCATTCAAAAATAGGATTGCTATGTATTATAAATGAATCTTGCAGCTAAACCACCAATCTTGCTTGGCCAATGGACTCTAGCTTATTTTATTTATTTATAATATTATAATATTTATAGTTCTGGGAATAAATCCCCTCTTGTGCAGGGTTAAAACAAAGCTTCAGTTAGTTGACTACAGTATTTAAATATGTGTTTTCTTCATATTTAGTACAAGTTTAATAGAGAACTAGGATTTAGTTTTGTGAATAATAAAATCCCCTTTGCTTGTACAGGGAGCCTTTTCTGATATGGCAAGCTACATGCTGATGAGTGAAGGATCACTGAATGATTTGAACGGTCGACTAGACCGACCAGTTAGTGAACACAACTTCCGACCCAACATTTTAGTGAAGGGATGTCCTGCATTCAGTGAGGACTCGTGGGACTGGGTGAGGATTGGAGAAGATGTTGTTCTAAGGGGCTTCAAGTACTGCACCAGGTACATGCTTTGTATACTGATGATTGAAAACAAATTCAGACAAAATGGAAATTCGCTTAGTCAGCAGGTTTGCTGCGGCGGGGGTATTTTTATTATAACACCAATATTGTATATTTTGCAGGTGTGTAGTGACAACAATCAACCCAGACACAATTGAAAAAGATATCAACATTGAGCCTCTTCGGACTCTGAGAACGTAAGTTTCTTTTTTAGCTTGGGAGCTTACCCAAAACATGTTAACTCGTATTAATTGCAAAGAGTTCCTTACTATACACAAGGATACTAATTAAAGCACGACTGTTACTTGGATCTTAACAATTCAAGCCACAAATGCTTACAAAGACTTACACAAAAGCTGATACTTTCAGCCCTTGTGGTTGACATTATAACCGCAGAAAAGTAAGAAACAGAAGATACAAGCTTTTTGGGACGGCCGTGCTCTTTTAGCTCCAGGAATGTTGGGGCAGAAATGTACCGAGTATATTATGTTGGGGCAGATATTATGTTGTAAATGTAAATGTATCGAGCAACGAAGAGCCCGAACGGCGATGGTTACAGCATACAGGAGCATACATAGCATGGTATAGGAGATTTGTTTACCTACAGCAGTTCAAGCGCACAGGATCTTCCTACAGCGTGAGTGCTGTAGTACGAGAAGGTGAGGGGGAAAGTAGAGCGGAAGGGGACCATGAATAGAATTTTCTCTAGACACTAGCGACTGGTGCTAGACACCACTTACATGTACCTTTGAATGTCTCCTCTTTGCATTAACTTAACATTTTCAAATGCAAGTATCTATTGGAGCACAACTTAACAAAAAGTGTACCTGATATATTCTGCAACTTGGGAAACAAGCTTAGCTTAGGGCTACTCTAGTTTTGGGTAATGTAGTTTTATTCCATAGTGGTTTAAAGTAGTGTTTCCTGACCTTGTCTGTGTTATGCTATAGCGGTACAAAGCAGTGTTTCCGACATGTTTCCAGGCATACCTATTTAAAAAAAAAAATTTTTTGTTACAACAGTAGGTTATATTATCTCTTGCCTTATGTATCGCCAAGTGATCCTGTTCTTGTAATTAGACACTCATAGTTTCAAAGACTTTATGGCTTTGTCTAGTCTGCAAGGGCATTAGCATCATTAATCCTCTTCAACTTGGACGGTGTGACGATTCGTCGTACAGAACACCCAACATGAAAACATTTAACAGATAGTGTAGCCATGATTAAAAATCAAGTTGAACAACAGTGGTCATGACTGAACTTCTTCAGACTTGTTTTTAGCGAATCTCCCATATAGGGAATTAGCTATTACCTTAGTATGGTAAGACCTGGACACGGGACATATTTACTTTTTCGTTTTGAAGTCCCTAGAGGCCAAAAACATCATCAGTTTGAATTCATATATATATGAATTCCCTTCCAGTCCACATTACGCCGAGTTTGCGGGACTCTACTGTATAACTTTTGTAACGATAATATAATTTGCAGTTTCACTTATATACTCACCATCACATAAAGCTCTCTTATGGAGTTATTAGTAGCCAAAATGGTAGAATCCGAAACTGTAAAGGGTTGATTTCTAGGTTATAACTAGCTAGAACTGTACCGCCCTCTGGGGGTTAAAAATTAAAATGTAAATGCATGTCTCTGAAAATGCTGTGCCGATTTTTAAATCAAAAGATTCAAAATCCGCGACAGGCAATGGACAAGTCAGTCCAACCATGACGTAACGCGGAAGGATACGAAGACCGTTGGGAACCGCGCCGTCTGCAAAGCGTCTCGTCGTCCTCACTCGTGGTTCAGTACTCGCACAGTCAACATGTAAAGTCGCGTTTTGTCGCTGGTGTAGGACGAATTTTATTAATATCTTAATTCGTAGCTCGGAAATTCGCGTTCGGGCGGAAATTGTACGTGCATCAAATGATCGCAATTGTCAAAATTTCGCCGAATTGCAATTAGGGGTGTGTTTTATTAGTATTAAGTCGAGACAGTTGAGATGCCGGATTGATTGTCCGCGTTCGTGATGAAAATTCGTACATGCATCATATCAATAGCAAATGTCAGTTTCTAGCGAATCGCGGGTCGTCGTGACGGTATTTTCAATTGAATCATTAAACGCCAGCTCGAAAAAACAAGAATTAATAAGTCCTACACCAGAAAAAACCGTGTCGTGATATTCCGCTCGGTCAGACAAAAAGTCACAAATTACCACGAGTCAGTTTTTAAATGTTCGGTACGCGTGAATCTTCGTCGGAATGAATGTGAATGTGTCGACATGTGTACGTAAGTAAATGTATTGTGTTATTTGTGTTTTAGTATTATTGTAGTCCTGCCAATCTGCCAATTTTTCACATGTACATTCAATTTTTACAGTCAGAATACATGTCTCATTTGGTCTGAACAATTCATGTTTTATTTGGCATGTCGAAGCACATGGTCATAAATTCAGGAAATATGTTTATTAAATTTTGTCATGTCCTATAAAGAATGTAAGTTATAATAGTGATCCTAGTCGAATTAAAATTATTTATTAAATTGATTTGAAATGGTATATTAATTTTTAAGAGCAATGTTTATCTGTGATATTATTAATTTTGAATGTTATGTAAATTCAAATTCTATCATTATCATCTGTCTGTCACGTAAAACTGTTACAATTTGTTCTTACATAAATATTTGGATTTAAATCACTTCTAAAATACATAGAGATCTCTGAGAGTGTTTGATTGTGTATCAATTCAGTTTTGAATCAGAGCATTGTCCCGGTTGAAGGGTAGGTTTCAATACAGGCTATAAGGATAGGCTTCCATTAACGCCATAAAAGTCATATTACAAAACAATGTGTACCTAATCTAATTACACCAATATTCATCTTTACACAAACAAATGTTCTCTTCACTTAAAATTGTAGGTAAAAACAAGAGCATACCCCGTGGTCGAAAAATCGACCAAAAGTATGTATTGTGCAAACTTCTCTATTTTCACCCCCCCCCCACACTGTAAATGAAACATGTGATTGGAATGTATTCCTTTTGATTTTCTGTTGATATTTTGTTGTTATTTCGTCATCAACATTGCAACCCATAAGACCCATGTTAATTTTTTCAAAATTTCAAATTCATTTTTCGTGCTTATTTGTGAGCCTACTTTAATTTATAAAGGGACTCTTCACATCTACAGGTAAATATCTTTCATTTAGTACCAACCCCATGTAATTCGGTCCAGTAGTAAGGTCAGGCTAGCTGTAATAAGTTTTGCAAAAGTTTTTTAGTATATAAGATCATTTTGAAGCTCGATCGATGGTGAAGGTCAATAACAATATATATGGAACCCTGATGACTCAATTTTGTGGATGACTCTGCAAACGCCACCTAGTTTTAAAATTCCGATCTTATTCTTATGGAGAATAAGTAAACTGTTGTAGTTTGCTTGTTTTTGAACATATTTTGATGAAATATGGAAAATGCATTTACTTCTTACTAAACTTTTAAAATATAACAAAAAAAACACTTTTTTACCCTCCCTTTTGCAGCATACCTAAGTACTTGTTAAACTAATTATATTTAAATTGGGAATAAATGTGATATTTTTAAGGAGACATTTTAGTGTAAATCCAATCAGGCAAATGGAAATTCACTTAGTCTGCAGGTTTGCTGCGGCGGGGGTATTTAATTGTTTCCACACTGTTAACTGTATTTGTATTTGTGTTGCACGTTTTGTACAACGAATCTTCACACCGCTTAGGTTGAAGAGAATAAAAGAAGGTTAATGTCCTTGTAGACTTGATGAAATAGCCATATGGTATTCAAAACCACAGCGGTTTAGCTACAGTAGATTCCCTCTTATCTGGACATCTTTTAACTGGACATCGGTTTAACCGTACTACACTCAGCGAAAATGACATCTAACTGTACAATTTTTATCAGCACATCGGTTTACCGTACTAGATCGGCAGGAAGGGGGCGGTACTGAAAGATCTCGAGGGAAAATGTCCCCAAAAACTCGTCAAAACGGTCCCCAAAAACTCGTTAAAACGGAAGTTTTAACGAGTTTTTGGGGATGTCAATTTAACCGGAAAACCCGTTATCTGGACTAGCCTCGGTCTCGAGGAGTCCGGATAAGAAGGAGTCTACTGTACAAGAACAGAATCACTTGGTAATCATGAGGTAACACGACCTCATGTTTACGACCTCATGATTACCTTGGTAATCATGACCTACTACTGTAATAATCATAGTGATCCAGAGGCCACACCACGATCAATATTTTTCCCTAACATAGTCATAGAGAGATAATAAATAATATATGAAATGTATAGAACCCTTTTTTCAAAACATAGCATGAATCTCAATAAGGTTACATTTTAGAACCTGGAGATTTAATTTAATCATATTATTTATTCAGGTCTTTTACTTATTTTTTTTCACGTTAAACAAAATAATCTTATCCTTTTACCAACAACTTTTGTTGAATATACAGATTCCGATGGGTGAAATAAATATTGCTGATGCACTAGCAATCTTGACATGTAATACTCTTACTTAGAATGTTACCACAGATTGGGAAACACTGGTCTGATGCACGGCCAGGTCTGATGAGCGATTAGTTCACCTGTCTGTAGTAAACCTTTACGCCACACTACATTATTTTGACGTACTTCCCACGCAAGCATTTAGTCCAGAAAACAGCTGTTTGCCGCCAGCTTATTCAAATGGGGTTTCATTGCGTACTACTGTACTGCAATGAGTTTTACCGGACACCAATCAGCTGATTATACTGTATTTAGATGGCAGTGAGTAGTTATAAACAAAAACATAACGTCTCTCAGAGGTTATGACTAGTGATTTTTAGACCTTTAGTTGGTGAAAATATATAAGGATTTGTACGGATATAGTAGTATGACGTAAACTATCATACGTAACTCGTCCAAAATGTGTGTACCGGACTCGTATGGCAATCCCGTACTTGACTTCGTCTCGCACGGGAACGACCACACTCGTCCGGTAAACACTTATTTTCAGGACTAGTAATGTAAGGGCTATCCTCCCTAAGATAAATGGTGAACTGCTAGGGTGGATGTTGTCAAGAAGGGCGAATTCTTTATCAATTACACCTCAAATTATTGTTAAGCCTCTACAAGCTGTCAAAGACGAGGTTCTTTTTAAAACTCTGTACACTTATTTTTAAAATCATACCTTTTATTTTAGGTACAGACAGGTAAAAGAGCCAGAACTCAAAAAGGTGGAGGGGAATTCACCGGTGATGGGACTGTACTTGGGCTGTCACCGCACTGGCACTGTCAAACTGCGAGACCCAGTGTATGTCGCAGTATAGCCAAGAGATTCAAGACTGAGAATATTGTAATGAATTTGAAGATTCTCAACATTTATAATTTCAATAAAAATATAGGCTAGTGTAAAAGTGTATGAATTCTCTCTCCTCTCTCTCTCTACAAGACTTCCTCTAAAAATGCCACTAGTATAGACAAAAAGGATAAAAAGGATAGTCGTTTATTTGTTTGTAAACCTCAACTTTAAAGTAAAATAATATATTCCAGTTAGGAATACAGTTTCTGTATCTTCTTAGCCAGATTACCCTTCTTACTTCTTAACTTTTGTTTTCATTAATAATTGCAGTATTTGGCCTCTGCTGTACTTCTGAGGTATATTTTATTTTGACTTAATTAGGCCTAGTGCATGTAAACGTTGAAATTGTACAGGAACAAAGTTAACATAAGCAAACAGTTGACCGTTACATATTTATTACAAATCTTTAAGAAAAATACTAAAAATAACAGTGGCTAGTTTCCAAAAAATGTGTTACTGAATTTTGTTTTATAAGATTATTCAATTACAATATCTCAAACAAAACCAGTTCAATGTTACACTTGTAAGTTGCTTTTCATTTTTTTATATAACTATTTTAACTAGATGATCACATTGAAACTTAGACCACACAAAACACTTTCCTAACTTCAGACTTAAAATTGCAAAACAACTATAGTTTTTAATAATATTTAGAACAGTTAAAATTAATAGAGAAAACTTTCAAGAGTAGCAGTAAGCAGAACTTCAATGTCCGTTCTTGATCACAATACCGTGATTTCTTACAGGATTGAAGAAGAAGAAGTTGTCATGGGGTTCTCCCTTCTGAGACACTGTTTTGATAACTTCTTGGGCAAGTTCACCTCCGAGGATAGCACAGATAGGACTGATCTGGGAAAATAAATTTGAAAGATACTCGTCAGGAACTTGGTCAACTGCAACCTTAAAACTTTGCATTTCTGATTCCCTAATTTTCTTCAGAGTTTCTAGATCCTCTACTCTTGTTGCTGCTTGAGGATTTCGACCAACATCAGCTCGGAACTTCAACAAAATCTTCAGAAGGAAGAAGGAGACCATATCGGCCAGAGTTCTTTTTGACATATTGGCGATGTTTTTGCACACCTTAAGGCTTTCCTGAAGGGTGGGATAGTGCAAGGTACCCTTTTTGTTTACTGTGACCATCTCAGTATCCTGTAACTTTTGTTTCTTGTTTCCAATTGCTTTGGAAAGTTTTTTGACTGTTTTTATCTCATCCATGTACTCTTGAGTCTGAAGATCAGCAAACATGTAGCCATAAAATCCAAACACATCAGCGCAGAAAAATTTGACATTGGCATTGTGACAAATTTTATTTATACGCAAAAGTTGATCCATGTCACAATCTGTAGCAACCACTACATGGAACTGGGTGAAAAACTCATCTGTCTTACTATCAACACTGTCACTGTCTACTTTCATCTCTACCATTGGATTCAGTCGCTGAGCTCGTTCCAGGGATGCTGCAGCACGGTTGCTGCCTAGTTTCTCTCGTGGAATCAAGAACTGGCTAAATTTCTCCTCCTCAGTAGCATTCTTGTCATCCATAAGAGTAATTGATTTAATGCCTGCTAAGACAATGTTTTTACAGAATTCAGCACCGAGACCCTTCAATCCAATGAGAAGAACAGTGGCAGCTCGCAGTCTCTTCTGAGAGTCGAGGCCCCAAAGTCGGATCTGTCTATCATACAAATCTGCTTCATCTTCTGTCAAGTTGTACTGGTTCGCTTCAACCATATTGAACTGCAACAGATTGTAACAATTTAACAATACTAAATTGGTCTTTTATGAATAAATACCCCTGCCACCGCAAACCTTTGGATTTTCACTAAAATTTTCATTTAAGTTGTCTAATCTATTTCCAAATAAAAAAATAAAAAACATTTAGATCTAACAAGTACTCAGGTTTGCTGCTACAGGGAAGGTAAAAAGTATTTTTGTACCAAAATACGTTAATAATATGAATACAATATCCCCGCCACAGCAAACCTGCAGACTAAGCGAATTTCAACTTGTCTGATTACATTTTTACTAAAATACTTCCATAAATAAGACATATTTATTCCCTATTTAAATAACATCAGATTTAACAAGTGCTTAGGTTTGCTGCTACGGGGACGTCAAAATGAAAAATTAAATCGGTTCAGGGTCCAGGTCTTACCATGAGTACTACAGTAATAGCTACTTCCCTATAGGAAATTCGCTAAAAGGACGACAAAATTAAATTACAAATTAATTAACTTAAAAGTTATAATGCTACTTGTCTTTTTGATAGTAGGCCCTCCTAAAAAGATACGACCAAAGTACGTTTTATCTATGATATAACACAAAAGACATGCAATTTGAAAATCAATTAGGCTATTATCAATCATTGAGAAAGGGACACCACCTAGAATTTTGATCCAACTACGAGTTAAGGATGAGTGTAGAATGGTGTGATATGATCTGTATAGTTTTTCAATTATTATCAATCATTGAGATGGGAACGCAATCTACAATTTCAATCCAAATATGAGTTAAGGATGAGTGTAGAATGGTGTGATATGATCTGTATAGTTTTTCAATTATTATCAATCATTGAGATGGGAACGCAATCTACAATTTCAATCCAAATATGAGTTAAGGATGAGTGTAGAATGGTGTGAGATGATCCGTGTAGTTTTGTTACCAAGCTCAGCTACCAAGGAGTCCAGTCAGCTACTGGCCGCGCCGGACTAAATCAGTATTATCATGATAGCGCAATCTAAATGTTTGATTGTGTATTCGTAACCTTTTTTATGTTTGTGTCGTGTTTGTTTCAATTGTGTTCTTGACGAGTTGCAAGCTTTGAAAATGTTGTCTTCGCAACAAAACATGCGTAAGCTACTGAGCAATTCTTAATCATTGGACTATTTGACGGAGGTAGGTAAAGACCTATTTTTGTCTTAATAAAATAGTCCATGGGCCAGAAACATGAATTTTGACAAGTTCAGCTGTTTCATTAGCCAGGATCATTTATTTTACGCCCAATGATGAGGAACAGCTGGGTCAAGTTTTAAATCCTCAAAAAGCTACTGATTCTGAATATTTTTAACAGCATTAATAGCTATTGATATTAGTGATGAATATTCTGTGTTGTTGGCAATGATCTGAGATTGGTTCATTGCCATTTACAATTACGAAACTCAACAGTAACTTCTTAATTCAAGCATGTATTATATATTCTAGATTAAAAAATCAAAATTCAGACATAAGACCCTAACCAGGGCTGGATTAACCCCAAAACTCAAAGCAAGCAACGCGCCCCTTTTTAAAGTGGGTTGGTAATTCTATGCAATAATTAGGCTAGACTATACCTATGAAAGAGCAAAATAGCCTGTTTCTTTTCAGGAGTCTATCTACTTAAGTTTTGAATTGTTATGACCTTGTCATAGAATGCCGAAAAGAGCATTATTGCTAGTGAGAAAGATATGTTTGTCGACATTTACAACTCGTGGTTTAATGTTGTGCTGTTTGCACTTAGGTTTGGAATGGTTTGTTAACACATCTGAGCTCTTCATCCATGTTATTGCATACAGTAGTTTGTTGAATCACATTAATCATAGCTGTCTCTAGTATAAGGCCGCAGCCTTCGATGTGGCAATGCCACGACTCATCCCCACCCTGGTCCAACTCCTGGTAGCCAGCAGTAAAATGTGCAACATTTCGCCAAAACTGCGCTTATTCACAAAGCTATGAAAATGGAACCAGTTCAATAAGATACATATTAGCATAAAATGTCGCTTACAATGTTTCAGATTGTATTACAAAATACTAATTAATACAGATTTATATAGGTAACTTATATTCACCACTTAATTCCAACCCTGAATATTATGCACAAGTGATATTACATTTGTATAATAAAAACGGAACCATTTTGGAACCTAATGAGTTTATGAAAAATAAATACAGCACTATTACAAATAGGCCTAGGCTTCCCCTGACATTCTTTTAAATTTTATGATGCAAAATATGTAATGTACTGACTTCTCTATTTTCAATCCACGCTGTAAATAAAACATGTAATTGGAATTTCTTCCATTTATTTTGATTTTCTGTTCATTTTGTCGTTATTTCGTCACCAGCATGGCAACCCATAGGGGCCATGTTAATTTTTTTTAATTAAAAATTTTTTTTTTGCTAATTTTTGAGTCTATTTAAATGTTTAAAAGGGATTCTACACATCTACAGGAAAATATTGTTTTAACAGTATGTGTAGATTTCCCCTGCGATGCACACAACAAGCTGAGAAAAAAAGGGTTTAAAGGAACATGCTTGCCTATTAATATATAGATAATACTAGCAGAGCACCCGTCCTTCGTACGGGGTTGGCGTAAGTTTAAATTGCTTATTGCAGTTATACTCAAGCTTTTCGTTTGCAATGAGGGAGGACAAAGTTTGATAAAATTTGCTTCTTTAAATTGACGGTATACTATGGTATTACACATCTACCATAGCCATAATGTTCTACTCTTCACCTAAACAATAAAGAAAAACAAAGTATTACAAATTACAAAAAAATCACAAACTATTCATGACATTAAAAACTTAAACAAAACTGTAAACAATCCTACTTTGACAGTTCTCATTGCGTATCACAGTTGTTTGTTGCTGCTTAGTTCAAATTATAGTTCGGCCGCTTAGAAAACGACCTGCGCGCTAATGCTAAACCAATGCTGGAGGAGGTCGCTTTCTAAGCGGCCAAACTATAGCTGTTTACATAAATGCAAAAAAAATATAGTGCTGCACCCTGTTGGTAAATCTTATAACTTTTATTTGCTTTTGTATATCATAGATTCAAATTTTTTAGTTGAAACAGCGGACTAAATTCGTTAATTCCATTTAAATATGAATACGCATAAGGTTAACATGGGGAACTACAGAGCCACTGGGGCGGGGCCCGAAGGGATTTTTGAGATAAGGATATGCCTATATGTTAATCGGGAATGTGAGCTATCATTATGCCAAATTTCAGCCCAATCCATCCAGTGGTTTATGCGTGATTGACCTTCAAACAAACAAACAAACAAACAAACACACAAACTTTCACATTTATAATATTAGTAGCCTAAGATTATAATTTCAAACTTAAGTGTGAGATATGCAAAGCTGTTTTACATCTTAAATTTTTGTGATTGAATGATCATGTAGAACTGTACTGTGGTAGAAATTAAAGCTATTTCAACACCTATGAATAGTTAATGTATGCAATACATGCATATTAAAATGTACAAAACACAACTGTGCAAGACTTTGAAAACATCTTGCCTCTTTAAAATACTTTAAATTATCAATATCAATAGTGTATTGATTTTTCATTTTGATGATACACAAGTACAAAAACTGTTTGTTCTTACAATATTACTATTGCTATTTTAGGTTAATATTTTGTATCCAATAACTTATTTTTTACGTTTGGTTTTATTAAGGTAGGAAACGTGTATTTTCTTAATCAGAAACGTTACTTAATTAGGTGTAAATGTATTGGCTCTAACCCACTCAACTCGACGTGGACCTTCTAGAGGGAAGTGAAATAATTGTATAGGCCTATACCCCTCAGTTTTTAATGCTTTTGTGTGGTTACTATTGCACCCCGGCAACAACCAAACTTGAGAAGCATTTAATACACTGTCACCACGAATACCATATTGTCTATAATTGTATCAAACAAACGGTTTAATATACAGTATAGCGGGTGATGCACCATAGCAGTGCAAACTAATGGTGGGGGCCAACTGGACTATGCCTCGGGTGCGACGTTGCCAGATTTTGCCCGCCGCGGCCTTATACAATTTCAGGTAATCTATAAGTATAAAAGAGGATGTTTGTATATATATATATTTGGCAGTGATAAACTCAGACACCGCTGAACCGATTGCCACGAAACGTGGTACATACGTGTGGAATTTCATGGAAAAGGTTTATACACCATCAATTTTGTGATCTGTCCAATCGGCTCCGCCCCAGTGGCTCTGGAGTTTCCCATTTTAACCTTATGAGAAATGGAATTAATGAATCTTAACAGCTGTTTCAATTAAACAAGTTGGTTCTGTTCTATGATGTTCAATAGCATTAAAGTTACAAGGATTACCAACAGGGTGCAGCACTATTATTTCTTTTACATTTATGACAACAGCTAATTTGCAACCAAAAGGTGAGTGAGCATAACAAACGAACTTCAACCTGGAGGCGAGTTAGCGTAGTGAACGAGCTAGCCTGAAGGCAAGTGAGCGTAGGGAACAAGCTAACCTGAAAGCAAGTGAGCGCAGCAAACGAGTTTTGACCAACCTAAAGGTGAGTGAGCGTAGCGAACGAAATTCAACCAGGATGTGATATAGCCATGGGAACGAGATCATCTTGAAAATACTGTCATTAATAACCATGAATGAAAATAACCATTAATAATTAAGCTAGCATAACCTAGCATTAATATAAGAGCAATAATAAAGAATCGGTTATCCTTTGTATTATATGTGTTTCATTAGTTGTCATACGTATTTTAATTTAGTTATAAGCACTTCATATACAATAAGACAATTAAACGTTACGGTACTTAAATTATAAATAGTCAAAGGCAAGACAACATCTGCCGGGTTCAGCTAGTTTCAGGTTAAAACTGTAAATCATTGTGAAATGTTTCAAACCTTTTAAAAATACCGTAGGCTATAAAAAAAACTGGTAATTATATCGACCTCCGGACCATCTCGAAATAAATTTTTTTT